TATATGTTATGCAGAACACTAAAACGAACAGCATTTGCCTTAGCGTTACATCCGAATTCCTTACCAAATGTGAAATAAAAATAAAATACGAAAAAAAGAAAAATAAAAAAAAATAAAAAAAAACGAAAAGAGAATTAAAATTAGTGATTGGGCGAGCACATTTTCGACTCCAGCATCTTTGGCGATTTTTCATTTTTTCTTGGGATAGTCAAATGCCCTGAAAATTTACAGATGTGTATTTCACATAATATATAGGTCATAAAAAAAGTTTCGAAAAATAATAAAATATTCGAGGCACCAAAATAAAATCAAAACAAAAAGTGAAAAGTGAAGAAGAAGAAAAAACTAAGTGGCCGAGCACGTTTTGACACAGCCATTTTTGGCGATTTTTTATTTATTTTTTGGCTTGGCAAAATGCCTTATAGGCATGTAGCACATGTCATACACAACTCAGGAAAAAAAAATCAACAAAACAAAATAATTTTTAAGCCCCGAAATAAGTTTTGGCGGGGGATGAACTCCTTCAGGTTCAGACCCCAAACGCGCCCACGTTAGGGGGTCAGCCCGCGGGCCCCCAAACGTTCGGCCTGACAACCATGACAGAAAGTATATAGACAGGGAAGTGAATTGGGCCATACCTACCTCAAGCCCAATGGCAGTATACAACCTGTGCCTGTGTGTGTGTGTGTGTGTGTGACTCTCTGTTCCTATTTGTCTGTCCCTCTTTGGCTTTCTGAAAGGGACAGAAAATTCTAAAAAAATCCCAAAACAATTTTCTTTTAGGAGGGTCTTGAACGAAAAAAAAAAAAAAAATCAATACCGGACATGCGGACACGGACGGTCCGGACCTGGTTCCAGACGTCCGGATCGTGATCATGAACTGGACTGATGTTCCATAAAATGGAAAAACAGCCATAACTGCAAGGTTTTTTTTTTTGTCCCTTAAAGTCTTTTGGAATACAATCGCATAGTTAGGTTTTATTACTACGTGGTTTTGGACGCATAATTTTTATGTTTGAACTTCAAGGGATAGTAACACTTACTAATTCTCTCGTGATTTAAGTGGTAGGTACCCAAACCCAAGCTTTCCATTGCACGAAACATTGCATCAACTTCGTGCTTTAGGCCAGCCTTGATGTTCACCTTTGTTGTCAATGGTAATTTAAGACACTCTATTGTGTTCTTTAGCATTTTGCTGCATTTTTCCCTCATCTTTGCCTGTTTAATAAGAAGAAAAACAGCATTTTCAGTGCAACAGATAGGGTTTGGAAAGTTTACAAATCATGACAAATGTATGCAATGTTAATGAAAGAGAGGATTTGGCCCTACGGTAATAAGACAATTAGGAGAGAAAAAAAATGATATACGTAAGCATGTTGTCTAACGTTTCCAAGAAGTGATTCAGAACATCTGTATGACAAAGACATAGACATAACAATTACAAAGAAGGACAACATTCCTAAATGTGCAGCCAGAAGTTTCCTAAAAACATAATCTTGAACTTTAATAATGAAGAGGAGAAGAATTGATATGAAACAATTAATACAAAAAAGGATGGAAAACAATTGAAGGAAAGTTTTTTTTTAGGAAAAAATATAGGTTACCGGCCGGGCCGCCCGGGTCCTGGGTGGCCAGCCCATGCAAGGACTGGGGAAAGTCCCA